TATTCCTACTGAATTTCTCTCTCCTCCAGGAGGACATAGCAAACGAGTTGAGGAAGGTGAGTGCTGCCACCCTCTCCTCAGCCCTGCAGCCGATCCCTGACATAAACTCCTTAGAGTCTAGTGGCCTCTTTCCGTGCACCTACCATCTACACCTACTACTTTCAAAGAAACCACAACCTGGACCTGGAACAGAACTGGAGGTGCCAAAATGCCTGAGGATACTTCATCGAACATGGCTCTCTTGATGGGAAGCTGGCATGACTAGAAATGTCAGGAATCTTCCCTCTCTAGGTTTCCAGTTTTGTGTTGCTGATTCAATGGTCCGGATTGAGATCAGATGAGTCAAGTTCAGATAACCATCCAAACCTTTAGACGAGGCCTAAAAGCAAATCTGCATTCTCAAACCATTCCCAACGTGTTGATCACCAGTTTTAGTTTGCCATACCACCCAATCCAAGAGAGTGTAGTCATTTCTCTAATAGCAGATGCATAATTTGCTCATCAGTGGAAAATCTACGTGTACATCATAAGGTCAAATGTTGCAAGAAACTTGACTTCTTTGAGATTGTGCCAAACCTCAAGCTTTCAGTAATAAGGGCTCTCAGTCAAACCTTCTGAGGAGGATGAAGTGTGTTTGACCCAATGTTTAGCATAAACAGGCACATACTATGCTGTCCCTTTAAAATGGTTGAATTCTTGGCTAGACTGTGAAGGAAAACAACAGCCCAAGCAAAGCCTATGTAAAACATCAACCCATGGTCGAGGTCCAGTGAGATATGGAGATATTGTTGAAATCCAAGAAAGTGAAATGAAAGTCCTGAGCCTTATTGGCTACATGCCCTTAATTGTGACATGCTAAACAAGTATAGTCATACTATCATGTAAGCACAACATTCTAAAATGTCTACTACAGATAGCAAAAGCATGAATTCAATGTACAGTTTCTGGGCACCCACTGTGTGCTAGAGGAAGTGTTGGGTATTGGAGATTCAACATGGAACTTCCTTTTATTTTCCTTCACTGCCTTTCTCTTTTCAAATATTTAATGACCATCCACTGTGTCCCAGAAGTTGCCAGGCCTGGAGCAGGAGATTCTTTCTCCTTAAGCCCCCTGTGTCCCAGCTGGGAGTGACAAATACATCGACCAAGAAATAACGTGGTGGGAAAAGTCCACGAATAATGATGTGCACACAGTCCTTCGGGGTATCCTTACCATCGTGCTCTAGCTTCAATCTCTCAAAAAGACCTTTTGCCTATTACTGAAGATGTCAGCAATAAAACTGGATCCTAAAGAAACCATTCATGATGATATATCCTTATTGGAATTGAAAATGCATGAGGAAATCACATATAGGTCCTAAGTGATAAAACATTATTCATCCATTAAGTTAGATAAGAGAGGTGACTTAATGTCAATCATGTATCTCAGAAAAACAAAATGTGCTCATCTCTTGATTTTTGTAGATCAAATCCCAGTAGAGGAGTTGGGTATGTTTGTAGACCCAGCTACTTCCGTTGATAAGGCAGTTTTCAAAACGACTTTATAAATACTTGCTGATTGGGTCCTCAGAGTAACCCTGGAGGTACCTGGTGGCTCACCACAGTGTGGCAAGATTGAGATGACGACTCTAATGTACGACTCTTTGTCAAGCAAAAGGCAGACAGTCATTCTCCACTTTTTAATTGATTGACTGCTTGCTTGATTGAGATGAGTCTCACTATGTTGCCGAGGCTGGTCTTTAACTCCTGGGTTCAAGTGATCCCCCTGCCTTAGCCTCACAAGTAGCTGAGACTACAGGCGCGAACCACCACACCTGGCTTATTATTTGTTTTGAAAGCATTAGAAGTACTTTTAGAAAATTCCAAGGAGCTCAGTGTCCCTCTAAACTGCCTTCCTCTTCATGTAACTTGACACTAACTGTCCTGGCGTGTTAAGCTCGCCTCTATTTAAAGGGTCCTGCAGAAGGCCACGCCACTCAAGTTTAAGGAGACAGAAGGTACTCTGTCCTTGAAGCATCATGCCACTGAAAGTTCATTAAGATCTCTGTCCCAGGTATTACACCCCTAATGTCGCTAGGCCTCTCCACAACAGGTATACTATGCAGTCTCCAAAAAGGTCCTCAGTTTTAGGATGCAGGGAGAATAATTCATTGTTTTTCAATGCAAATCTGGCAGATCAGTAGCTGATCTGTTACGGCATTCACTTCCAGATTAATTTTCTGTGTTTGAAGTATGTGCATATGTGCTTTACAGAATAAAACATCTGAATTTAAAAAAAAAAAAAGAGGGATCAGCTTTAAGTTTCAATTATATATGCTGTCGATTTTATCTTGGCTCCTGTCCACGAATACACTATCTTCCATTCACATCTAAGGCAACTAGTTCGAAGCGATAGGAAATGGGTACTTTATGAACACCTGCTATATACAAATATTTAACCACCTTTTTCCTCCTTTAGAATTTTTCTAACTCAGTGGACTCTCCATTATTCAAAAGAAGTTCTTAATTTTCACTCCTTCTCACAAGGTTACCTCTTACAGGTAACAGTATCCCTCTTTCCTGCAAGGTCAGGACAAGAGGATAGAGGAAAAAGCTAAGAGAATCTCTCAGAACTGTGTATGTGCTAAAATTCTTAACTTAGATGTATATATGGACAAGGAAAGTGGGCAAGAGAAAGTAAAACTAAAATTTAGGCAAGGAAACCAATTAGCCAACAGGGAGAGAGCCAAAAGTGAGAGTATCAGACCAGACCATCCCAGACCCCTAATCTTGTGGATCAAGGCAGTGATGGAGGGCATCATAGAAAAATGTTGAGGGCAATATGGCAGACACTAGTGGAGCTGGCATATTGCATCCTCTCCTACTAAAGGATCACACTCCCAGAAGCTAAAGGAATGAAGTGGAGAATGGGAGGTGTATTTTGGGTAAGAAAGAAAAAGAAGCGCTTGCACGGGTTTTCATGTTATTTCAGTGAAGTCATAATAGAACAGATTCCCTTCACAGAGCCTGCCCAGAACAGCTATTTAAAGGGAGAGTGAGAACTGTACAAGCTTTGACTAGATTCTGAGGTCGGAGCCTTAATTAGAGTCACAATTGTATTGTACATCTATTTGTGTTACTGTTCAATTAGGAGTGTAATAGCTGGGACAGAGATCTTAATGATCTTTTAGTGTCATGATGCTTCAAGACTGCCCTTTTTTGGTTGTTGCTATTATTAAGATTTCATATAGGGGCTTTTTCCTCTCTGCCGTCCAACTATGTGGTTCTCCCTTCGGACAGGTTGAAATGCAAGACTGACTCTTTGTATATCCAAAGCTGGCCATTAAAAATGGGCTGTCTTCCCCTTATCATCTTCATAATTAGCTTCTAAACAGTTGCTTGGATCTATCCTGTTATCAATATAACCTCTGGGAATATTGGAATGCTAGGGCCAATCTTTTACAATTGAGGTAACTGAGATTCAGAAAGATGAAGTGGCCTACTGGACACGCCATAGATAGTGACAGAGCCTGGTCTTGCAAAACACTGTTCTCACCGCCCAGCAACAAACCAGTCACAACACCTGAACACATTACAATAAGGTCGTTCTAACAGTACAATGTACACAAGTAGCCAAACTGGATCATTCATTTAAAAAAGAAAAAAAGAATTCATTCCCAAAGACATAGTTTTTGTGGTCTTAACAGGTATTTTACTTAATTTTTGCCTGCCTTTCACTACGTAGGCTTGGGTACAATTAAAAGTGATATTAGCTGGGCTCAGTGGCTCACAACTGTAATCCCAGCACTTAGGGAGGCCAAGGCAGTGGATCCAAGGTGGGGAGATCAAGACCATCCTGGACAACATGGTGAAACCCCATCTGTACTAAAAATGCAAAAATTAGCCAGCCATAGTGGCATGTGCCTGTGGTCCCAGCTACTCAGGAGGCTGAGACAGGAGAATCGCTTGAACCTGCGAGGTGGAAGTTGCAGTGAGCCAAGCTCACACCACTGCACTCCAGCCCAAGCAACAGAGCAAGACTCCATCTCAAAAATATATATTTATATTTTGTGTTATATAAAATGAACAGTGCTCAAACACATTCTTATTTAAGCAAACCTGGCCTATGAAAAGCTGTATTCATGAACCCTAACCAAATAAATGGTGAGGGTGGTTTTTCGTTTTGTTGTTTTGGCTTTAGAAAATGATTCTCTGCCTTAGTTCCCTCACACGTAAAATAGACATAATAATGTCTATGTTACATCTACCTTACAGGATTGTTGGGAAGATTAAATCAAGTAATGCAGTTAAACTGTTTCATAGACTACCTGGCAGAGCTTCAAATTCAATCAATACTAGATGCTTTTGTTCTTACTCTTTTCATTATTACAAAAGGATGGCCAGAAGTCATGCCAACTGTCAGCATAATTTTTTTTTTTTTTTTTGAAATGGAGTCTCGCTCTGTCACCCAGGCTGAAGTGCAATGGCGTGATCTCCGCTCACTGTAACCTCTGCCTCCCAGGTTCAAGTGATTCTCCTGCCTCAGCCTCCTAAGTAGCTGGGACTACAGGCGTGCACCACCACACCTGGCTAATTTTTGTATTTTTAGTAGAGAGGGGTTTTACCATATTGGCCAGCTGGTCTCGAACTCCTGAGACCTGCCCGCCTCGGCCTCCCAAAGTGCTGGGATTACAGGTGTGAGCCACCACGCCCGGCCCTCAGAATCATTTTTTATATTTTGTTGGAGGAGGTGGACAACTTGGGTGGCACGGTGGGGGTGGTATAAGTGTCAATATTTTGAGCTGATTAAAAAAGAAAGTGAAAATGAGTGTAAAGGCTTGTGAAAATTACTGTTGAGACAAAACAATTATTCTATTACAAATTAATAGTACAATTCATTTATGGTACGTTATTGAGTGTTTAAAGAATGGATTGCCCTCAAGTGTTCTTTTCAAAACCCATTTATTGCCCAAGATAAACTTAAAGGTAGTGCCACATTTTGAAAAATGTTATTTTATTGGCCATAATTTTTCACAGTTCCGATGGGGACCTAGTGACAGCCCAACACAGCAAATGTCCTTCATGTTACCATCCTTTTTTTTTTTTTTTTTCCTCTAAAGCTAAATTGTCCTGGGACCATTCCAAATGTGATTTATTTGTCCCCATGCCAATAGAAGTATCCATGTAGGTGAAAACGGATGTTGGACTAGTTGAAGAGAAATGGAAATGAGTTCTTCAAGCTGACTTACTGAGTGGAAACTGGTAAGTAACGTAGGAACATTATATCACTAGACATTCTGACTACAAGGAATTCTGGACAATTCATGTCCCTTACAGATACATATGAACGTACACATGTTCTATCAGGAAGGAAGAAGATAAGAGCCCCAGGAAGAGCGTAAGCATCTCAGAGCCAGGCCTTTGTGCTATGTGCTTTATGTACTCATTTAGTAATTTTAACAGTCTAGGGAAGCTTTAGGTTTCAAAGTCACAGAACACCAAGCAACACCACCACTGGGATCTGTTTCACATTTGGCTTGCCAGTATTGTGGAGATGCTGTTTTACCTTGTCTCTTACTTTGGGGAACAGTAGTAGGCCTCCACTTTTACAAGAAAGTTGATGCTGTGAAGAGGAAATAAGAGGCCAGAGAAATTCAAGTAAAATTAATGAAGATATGTTTAGATCCTGGTTCTCCCATTGCCTGGTCCAAAGTTCTTTCCACCGCACTCCAGTCCACGGGGATGAGGTAGAAAGAGGCAGATGTTTGAAAGATCTGACAGACCCTGAAGAGGGCTCTGGGTCAGAGAACTTGGGTTCCAGTCCAGTCTGTGAATCTCACTACCTGCAGCCTGGCCCTTTACTTCCTCATACCTGTTTCCTCATCTATCAAATGGAGACGTTGGTCTAGAAGATCTCCAAGGTCCATTTCAGATCTAACATTCTATTATTCTATTATCTTTGTGCTCTGGTAAGTAGAAGCATATAGCCCTGGGCTTATTAATATTAACTGGGGCAAACAAGTGAAATTAGTTTATGAAAATCGAGCTGTGGTTTTTGCTTGGAGCCAGAGCTGCCTTATGAGACTCACTTTAAGCACTGGTAATGGGATTGCTGATGGCTCCTTGGCCAGAACCCGAATGCCCTGCTGTTACACTTTCCAGTTGGTGCCAAGGGTGAGCGTCCTCTGCAGACACATGAAACTGAGGCACCACACGGTTCAAGTGAAAGGAATAAATTAAATCAGTCACATTCAGCCTGACTCATCTTTCTTCTATCTTTTCTCAATGTTTGTTCGGTCCAGCTCAGTACAAAAGCCAATGCTTCCTGGAAATAGCCCCTTCCAGTCCCAGCCTGCAGTGATGGGTTGCTTTACTGAACCACAGAGAGTTCCTAGTCTCTACACCCCTACCATTTATAGTCTGGGACTCAGGCCTGTCTAAATGTCTCAGTATCTGAGAGCTATAATGAAGATCCTTTGTGCCAGGGGTAATGCTTTATGCCTTTGGTCAGGGAAGAGATGGGATATTAATTTTGGGGCCTAGACTTATCTTTATTTATTTATATATTTTTACATGTGATATTTTGATACAAACATACATTTTATAGTGATCAAAGGGCAAAATGCATCACCCCAAGCACTTACCATTTCTCAGTGTTAGGAACATTCCAATTCTCCTCTTTTAGTTATTTTGAAATAGACATAAATTACTGTTAACTGTAGTCACCCTACTGTGCTAATGAACACTAGATCCTATTCCTTCTAACAGTATTTCTGTACCCACTAACCATCCCCTCTTTATACTCACCTCCCCACTATTCTTCCCAGCCTCTGGTAGCCGTTATTCTACTATCCATCTGCCTGAGTTCAAGATGTGTTTTAGTTCCCATATATTAAATATTTGTCTTTCTGTACTTATTTCACTCAACATAATGTCTTCCAGTTCCAAGTGACTTTGTGATTTATAATTAGAAATATATATTTGGTCTTCATCCATTTCTGGTGCTGAGTTCCTAAAACCCTTGGAATTTCCTAAGGGATAAGAGAATAAAAGTGAAATAATCATCTTTTATTGTTCATAACATACCCTTTTCAATCATACCTGAGTTGATGTTAATGACTGCCCTTTAGGAAGCTCCTGAGGATTGAGGGGCTGCTTGCCAGAGAAACCTACTGTGTGACTGGGACTCTCTGCCTCACTCTCCAGACCTCTAGGGAGGGGAGAGGGGCTGCAGTTTAAATTAGTCACCAGTGGCCAATGGCTTAATCATGCCTACATGAGGAAGCTAAGTACATTAATGTGTATCCTGTAGAAACTGTTGAGGCTACAGCTACCTAGATCTCTTGATCTTCTCTATATGAGACCCTATGATAAAAACCCAAAAGGACAGGGTTCAGGGAGCTTCCACGTTGCTGAAGACATGGGGGTGCTGGGAGGGTGGCATGCCCCGTCCCCTGTATCTTGTGTTACGCATCTTTTCCATCTGGGTGTTCCTGAGTTGTATCGCTCTCTTTCTCTTCTTTCCTCCTTTCCTTTCCTTCCTTCCCTCCCTCCCTCCCTCTTCCCCCCTTCCCTTCTTCCCTCTTTTGTTCTCTCTCCCCCCCTCCCTTCCTTCCTTTCTATTTTCCTTTTTCCTTTTTTTTCTTTGAGACAGAGTTTTGCTCTTGTTGCCCAGGCTGGAGTGCAATGGCACGATCTCAGCTCACCACAACCTCCACCACCCGGGTTCAAGTGATTCTCCTACCTCAGCCTCCCGAGTATCTGGAGTTACAGGCATGTGCCACCACATCCAGCTAATTTCTTGTATTTCTATTAGAGACAGGGTTTCTCCTTGTTGGTCAGGCTAGTCCCAAACTCCAGACCTCGGGTGATCCACCCACCTTGGCCTCCCAAAGTGCTGGGATTACAGGCATGAGCCACCGCACCCAACCCTTTCCTTTCTATTTTCAAGACAGAATCTTGCTCTGTCATCCAGGTTGGAGTGCAGTGGTGTGATCTCAGCTCACTGCAACTACTGCCTCCAGGATCTCAAGCCATTCTCATGCCTTTGCCTCCTGACTAGCTGGAACAACAGCTGTGAGTCACCACACCCAGCTATTTTTTGTATTTTTAGTAGAGATGGGGTTTCACCATGTTGTCCAAGCTGGTCTTGAACTCCTGGGCTCAAGTGATCTGCCTGCCCTGACTTCCCAAAGTGCTGGAATTACAAGTGTAAGACACCACACTCAGCCTTTTTATATAAACCTTTATATATATATTAATATAAACCAATAATTTAGTAAGAAAACTGTTGTCCTGAGTTCTTTGATCTGTTCTAGCAAGTGACTGAACCTGAGGAGGGGGTAGTGACAACTTCAAATTTATAGGTGGTGGGTCAGAATTCACCGGTGACAACCTGTAGATTGGCATCTTAAGTGGGTACAGTTTTGTGTGACTAACCTGTGGAGTCTGATGCTGTTTCCAGGTGGATAGTGTCAGAATTGAGTTTAATTGTAGAACATCCAGTTCTTGTGTGCCACAGAATTGAATTGTTATAGGAAAAGAAACCCACACATCTGATGTCAGAAGCGAAATACTGAGAATGGCAGCACAGAGTTTTTCCTCATGGGTAGAATATAGATGGGAAGTCATAAGCTATATATTTGACCTATACTGCCCTTTTGGCCAAGTTTATTTTAATGCGCTGCCCTTGGATTCTAACAAAAGATGCCATAAGAGCCTAAGTATATCAGTGTGCTAAGTACATTAATGTGTATCCTGTAGACACTCTGTTGGGGCTACAGATACCTAGATCTCTTGATGTTCTCTATATGAGACCCTATGATAGTTCTTTCACAATTTAATTTCAAGAAAATGGCTCATTTTTCATGATCATTTGATTAAAAAGACTGTGAATTGATAATGTCTCCCATTTAGTTTTGGTTGCCGGGAAGTCCAGGTGAAATATAAAATGAATTGATGTAGTCTCTCTTGTTCTATATAACATGTATAGCATATTTTTAATTTGGTCATGATAGTTTTCAGTGTTACACTTTCTCTGATCCTGCTTCTCTAGTCTTATGTATATTTTGCCATTGTTATATATCAGAAGTTTCCTTCTATTTCCCCCAATATTTCTTAAAATAAGATAAAATGTATACAAACACACAAATAACACTCATAATTTGTTTAAATCTAAAATACCTAGCATGGTGCCAGAATTTTAGCAGTTAACAACTGCTGCTTGATCTATAGGGCGACACACTGCACCTTACAGAGAAGCAGTCTCTGAGAGTCAGAGCTGGCTGGAGAAGAACTACGTGGTCCCTGTCACTGGAGGCATCTGTAAATAAACTGGACAAGCACCTTGGCCAACTTACTTAAGCCTTGGTTTCTTTAACTGGAAAATGGTAGTAATAGAATCTCCCTTGGAGGTCACTGTGAATAGTGTAAGTTGGTACATGTCAAGCTCTCAGGCTCTTAGCACAGTAATGCATATTTGAAAAAAGTAGCCTTTATTATTAATGAGGACTTGTGCATTGAAAGCTGTTTTATTAGCTTAAGTTCACTTCCAAACCTGATGGTTCTGATGGGTTAGCATGCCCTCAGTCATCAGAAGAATGGCCAACTTGGAGTCTTAGACCAGCTCTCCTTGTGTGGCTCATGTGGGAGGGATTTAAACAGCAAATAAAGGACTGGATGGAGTGGGCTTTAGGCTTCCTCCCACCCCAAAGTCCATGATACTTTTGTTTCAAATCCATTCAGTCAGAGGTGGTATAAGGGTGTCTGGGAGAAAAAAAGTATTCTAATGTAATTTTATTAAAAGTTCTCCATTCTTTCATGTGTAAATTTCACTTGGGACCTTATCAATTCAATATGACAGCATTTTCCAGGGGAAAAAACAGTAAGAGGAGAATTGAGGAAATGCCTGAGAGCACTTCACGCCTTCCCGTCTATCTGTACACAAAGAGCTGCTTTCTTCACAGCTTTCCAAACACAGGCTGGCAACCCGATTATTTCCACTAGGCACAGACAGCACACTTCAAACAAGGAAGCTGACCAGAATCCATGCCAAACATGATGGATGTTCCAGTTTTACCACCATCACCCTTGCACCAAATCACTCCATTATGCACCCGCCCCCCCCCCCCATTATTTTACAGTATTTTGATGGTGGTATCCTTCAGAAAATGGGCCACATCTAGAAAAAAAAAAGTTTCTTATATTTTGGCTGAAATGACCATAAAACTGCAGGTCTTCCATGCAGCCAAGGTAACCGTTTTTTCCCACTGACCTTTGTGTAAGGAGTTGTCAGGCATCGGAACGGGGCTGAATTAATAGGTAGGATCTTTCCCGGAGATACAGAGGGCATGGGTTGAGTTCACAATTTTAAAGATGGATTTTTCTTTTCCATGAAAATCCCAAGAGAGGCATCTAAGACAGAGGTTGGGACTATGGGTATCACCCAGGGTAGGCTGCAATATAGATTATCCAGGTACACCTCAAAGGAGAAGGAAACAGCAGTCGTAGTGCAGGACATGTTTCAGCTTAATACTCCTGAGTTCAGCAAATACTTTGGTTAGAAACATGACTGGCAATCTCCTGTTGATAGAGTCTCTCCAAGCTGAGTGGGCAGGTCTGATGGCACGCAATGTGCAGCATGTGGCTGGTCATATAACAGGTACTATAAATATTTGTTAAAAGTTTCAAGTTGCCCCAGCTGCTCTCAAGTAATGGCTTTTACAAGCCCTAGACTTCCAGGAGCAAAAAAAAAAAAAATCACAGGCAAGTGACCACTACTCCATCTCCCCTTGGAAAACCATAAAATAGACAAGAAAGTACATCAGCGATGCTAGCCCTATGGGAACCCTGGCCCTGGCACCTTGTGCCATCCTCCTGTCATTCCCTCTGGCTTGGTACTGCATCACTGTTTTTCCTTCCTCCACAATTATGACCCAGATAGAGGAGGCAACATGACTAGGATACACTGCACCACTCGGAATTCATAGCAAGATCAAGAAGAAGTGACGTGAGGACTCTCCGTGTTCTTTGGTTGCCTGCTTATCTCTTCTCACTCACTGCTAGAAGGCTCACTGTGGTTGACTGAGCCAAGGAAAAGATTTCCATGAAGTAGTTTTTGCAGCAATGGTATAAGAATTCGATCAGACATGTGACTAGGTCTTCCTATTATTCATGTTTTCAGTTATAAGGTAATGAGCAAAACAAAGGTTATTCTGTTACTAGCTGCAACTGGGTACAGAAACCAGGTGCTATTTATTGAGAGAGTTATTGAACTGGTATATACCAAGCAGCATGGTAAGCACTGTGGGGGTAAATAAAGGTAAATTAAACAAACATCTTATGCACAAATTAATTATCCTATGAGGGAGAATTAGACACCTACTTCTATCACCAGAGAGTGAAAAGTGAACCTAAGAGCTACAGATACAGATTTTGTGAATTTTAGAGGAGCAATAATGTCTTCTGTTTACAGGTATCTACCAGGTTGCATGGAAGAAGTTGTTCCTATGCCGGTCCTTAATGGATAAAAAGCATCTGGACCTGAGGAGGTGGAGGAAGTGCAGAGGCAGTGGCAACAACTGTAGAGCAGAGGGGCATCTTTAGCCAGCAAATCTCTGTGGGAGGATACATTAGACAAAGAAAGCACCTGGCCATCACATCAGGTAGTTTGTTTATAACTGTGTATGTTCGATGACGCTCAAACACTTTGGCACAGAAACCTGGTGTCACAAAAGCATAAGACTTCCTGGATCATGGCCTGCATTTCCCCCCCTCCACTGGACATTCTGGTTGTCAAAGGTCACAGG